TTCCTAAACAGTTCAAAATAAATCAAAATATTTTGAAAATGTTATCGTGTATAGAAAATGCAAATATAAACAACCAGTGAAAATTTCATGTATATACGTTCATTTGTTTTAGAGTTACACCAATAACCAAAGTCGATTTTTTGGAAAACCAATTTTGCGTAAAAATTCCCGTTTTTCCTTAATTTTTATGTTGTTTTTCCCGGCGCTTGTGAAAACTACTGGGAAATTTATACTTTTGACCCCCCAAAGTACCAACTAGATTCACTTTCCTATCAGAAAAGCTACTGATGAAGAAAATCCAAGCACTTTTACTGTCCTAAAACGTGATGACAGACACAAAAAAAAATATAAAAATATAAAAATATAAAAATATAAAAACATACATCATTGTAAAACCAATACATTCATCGCTCCGCTCAGAATCTAAAATTGTATGTTGGCATGTTAAGTGAACTATAGGTACTGGTTAAATATTATCATAATATTTTAATGATATAATTATTATCGATGTAAATTTATGTTTATTACAAGCATAGGCGTGCGCAGGAATTTTGTATGGGGTGTGCCATGAAGAAAATTCGGCCGCTTTCCCTTATATGGGCCTAAGCAAATCTAACCTAACCTCAATCTAAAAAAGAATAAATTTAATGCAAAATATTAATTCATAAAAATGTATACCTATTGATTAAATGTTGTGCTTCACAAAATGTTGATATATTTTTACAATAAAGTATATACCTATTACCTAATGGTACATATAACAATAAATAGAACATAAAAAATAAAAATTAAAGTGTGTGTGTGATATCAGTACGCGCGCGGGAAGTTAAACTTCTTTTGAATGGTACACGTGAGTGAGTGAAAAAGAAAGAAAGGCATGGATAGACTGGGTAATGAGGATAATAAAGAAATAAAAGAAACAATGTAAATTATATTTTTTATATTTTTTTTTTTAATTATTATTTTTTATGCTAATGATTGATTATCATTTTGCTCAATCGGTATAGTAGTTATGATTCGCATATGATGACTGAAATACGAAACGTACATTTGTGACTGAACATTATCCATATATCGCGTAAAAATTGCATCGATTGTTGTGCCTGTTTTAGTAGTCGATATTGTTGGATCATTATTCAGTTGCAATAATATATAATATAATATATAAATTATAATATATAATATATAATATAACAACACTACCATGACAATATTTATTTATTTACGGACATGTACGCTTTCGCGTTCGTACGGCCGCCCGTTCGTACACGCCGCCCGTTCGTACGCGCCGCCCGTTCGCTTTTTTTTTTTCCTCACTACCCTGCGTAAAGAAGTATAACTTCAAAAAATTTGGTTGCTCGAAAAAAATTACAACTCTTAAAAAAATTATGATTGTTGAACTCCTTTTGGGTGTAACTTGCTGGGGTAAGTGCAGCTCAGCCACCCTGGTAAGCAATGTTCAATAATTTGATTTGATGCAAGCTTGTACCTGATTATCTGCTCGAATAACCAATGGCAACCAATAAATAAATGCTAATTTCTAATGTAGACTGTAACCAATGGCAACTATTAATAAATAAAATAAAATTTCCAATTTCCATCTTGAATCTCAATGTCCCTGTTTGAGCACCTATTTAAAATGCGAATTTCGAAAAATTCTTTCTTAGCGCACGTCTACATTATAATAGCTATCTGTATGCCAAATTTCAGCCAGATCCGTCCAATGGTTTGAGCTGTGCGTTGATAGCAGTCAATCAAGCTTACTGTTTTATATATACAGATATATATATATATATATATATATTTATTATAATATATAAATATATAATAAAACAACATTACCATGACAATATTTATTTATTTACGGACATGTACGCTTTCGCGTTCGTACGGCCGCCCGTTCGTACGCGCCGCCCGTTCGTACACGCCGCCCGTTCGCTTTTTTTTTTCCTCACTACCGTGCGTAAAGAAGTATAACTTCAAAATAAAAATGTTACATCACTAAACGTAAAATAAAAATGTTTTAATTATTCTAAGGTTTAATAATAAACAGTGAACATAAAAAATAAAAATATTTTATTGGTAATCTTCTTTGTATAGGACTCAAAACTTTAAACTCTTCAATAACGCTATTGAAATCTACTGATTCGATCATTTCTTGCTCAACGAATAAAATTAAAAGTGATTATAATCGTTCTTGTGATATTGTTGACCGTAGTTTAGATTTGAGTATTTGACAATGAATAATTTGGAGAAGGCCCCGTTCACAACCACAACTTGTAACTGGTATAACAACAAACTTGGTAATGACTTCATAGAAATTGGTAAAAATATTTTTCCTATTTGAATCCACTAACCAATCCAACCATTCATAAATAGTGTGAGTACATGTACCAATTGGAATATCTTTTATTGATGCAAGTATTTTGACTTCAGAGTCCAAATCTTTATTTAAAATGTTGAAAAATGTTTTTATAACTGAATAATCTTCAATAGTCTGTTGTAATTTAATTAAATTACCAACCGAAGTAATTACTTCCAGAGTACCTACTATCTAAAAATCTATTATAAATTTCTCCCAGTAAATCATCTAGAATAGGATAAAATACATTAATCCTAATTTCATCATATTTAGTTTCTGAAAAAAATTGTGATTCTTCATTGTTATCAATTTTTCTAGCAACTTTTCTTTTTAATACTTCTGGAATATCAATTTTGTTTTTATTGCAAATATCAATGGTAGTTTAGTAAATGTTATCATACTCTTGGTTGATCATTTCTCATTTTACTCAAAAACTTTTTCAGTCCTTTTACAATTTATCAACCAATACAATTTAACACGCCTAATTTATTTTCTCTAATTTTTACTATTTGTAGCTTAAAATTTAAAAGAAGTCCCTGAATGAATAAAAGTTTTACAAAAAGCCACGGGCCACGGGGTGTGCCACGGCACACCTGGCACACCCTGTGCGCACGCCTATAATTACAAGCCATTTGCAAATAAACCAAGTTGAAGTGTAAAAAAAAATGTGCATACAGATAAACAAAGAAAAAATTTAAGTGCTACAGCTCCCCTCAAAGAAAATGTCCTATATTCTATATTTATAAATATTTGTACACCAAAAATAATGCTGAGTCGAGACAGTGTGTTCAATTCTATTTCTAAGGATAGTGGATACTTTATATTTTATAATACATTATATAACTTTAAGACAATTTATATTACAGCAGGTTAAACTAATTACTGACAAAAAAATTACATTTAATAATAGGAGGTATATTATGTAATATGTATACTGTATAGAATACTATTTATGTTGACTTAGGTTTTAGAAGTCAATACCGACATACCATAGAATGGTATGAAAAGGTTTGTGGTATAAATAGCTCAAAATATTTTGAAAATTTCTGTGTACAGAAAATAATATTATAAGAAATAGTAAAATACTAAAATGTTTCAATTACAAAATAACTAATATCAATATTTCACATAAGAAATTAAAATATCCTATATTATCCACATTTAACCTTGAAAGATAAAAAAAATATAAAAAAAAAAATCGTGGCTGTATTTTTTAATTGCTTAAAGAAACATTTATATTGTATTACATTTTCAATTGAAAATATTTTAAGCTTTTAACCACAAAATAATGTGGCACATCTTTGCTAAAGTATTTCAAACTTGGATATTACAACTGTATTTTACATATCATATTGTAATACCATTTTTTTTTTTTTATTGAAAATACAAAAAAAATGTGCTTTTTGTATTTTATTTACAATGTTATACCGACAGGTGACATCTTATATGATTATATAATATTAATAATATTATGTTGATTGGTTTCCACAAAGAATATGTATTTTAATAATTATACCATTGTTATAACTAAATTTAAATAACAAACCAAAAGCATTTATTTAAGTTATATCTAAATTGATTGAAATAAGTCTAGTGGTGTTTGGTAAGTTAAGTATTTGCTGCATTCGTGTTACAGAGTGTTGTTGAAAATGTAATTTAGGTGAACACTGAACTATGCAAATACTCATTCAATTATATTCACTTTACATAAATAATTTCTACTTAAAGCCATAGTATAGTTTAAGATTTTTAGTAAGTAATATAATCTAATACCTAATCTAAAGTAAAAATTTACTGAATATAACTAATAAAAAATAAAACGGTTCTGCATAAATACATTTCTTTTATTTTAGGCGTGGACCAGAGCGAGAAAACAAACAATGCACTAACATCATCTTAAGAGTTAACTTAACATTTGTGTAAACAATTCATTAAAAAACATTAATACAAAATGTATATTGGCTATTCTTTTGACACTTGTGACAAATAATTATTGAACAATAAAATTATACTATTGTATACCAATCTTATGTTACCCATCCAAATGTCTGTGTTAAGCATTAATACCTCACTATAGTTAGGACCATAAAAAGTTAGTGGTTATTGCAATAGATTCTAATGTTAAACATGGCAAAAATTTGAAAAAAAAACATACACTATGTTATTTATAAATTATGTAATATTATTGTGTATAAATTACAATTATATTAGTATATTTCATGGAATGTTTTACACATTATCAAAATTATTTCTACCATATTTTAAGCAGTAAGATCTGATCAGTCACCGCTAAATGTTGTGGCCTTAACTATAGTATCAACTATTAAGTATCCAACTTCAAGGTATTAAAAGGAAATCATTATTAAATATAAGACAAAATTTAATACTAACCATATTATCTAGGTATAAAATGTCTTAACCTTTTAGTTATCATAAACATGCTATATACTTATTCTTAAATTCATTATGAATTTCAAATTGTCAAATCATAATACATTTCAATGAAAAAAAAACATTTTTAAATGTTTGTCCTTTAAGTATAAAAATAATGAATTATAATACAATTTAGTTATTAAAAAGTTAATATTATAATTTGTAAGAATAGTTCTAAGAGTTAAAATTTGTGTTTTATAAACATTTATTTATTAGTAAAGGCTTCATCTAAATGCATAGAGTATACGGATCTTAATATCGAAAATATCTTTTGATTCTTATAAGGGTGACCGGTCAAAGGATCCCTGTATCTTGCATAATCTTCAGTAAATACACACTGCCTATGTGGTTTAATTGGTTTGGCTACTTTTTTGGGGAACATTCGTTCAAACTCATGGGGTTCGTTCACTGTGATGGAAGTGCGCTCGAAATACTCACGGCGTTCACGTTTCATGTCATGTTCTTCGCATTCAATGTTTATATTGTCGTCTTCGGTAAACAATGGATATGCTTTACTAAGAAATTTAACAGATGTCAAGTATGTGACACGAGGTTTAGCTCTTGTCTGTTTTCTAGCCAATTCTAGTTTTTCAAATTTCTCTAATGATTTTAAATTCTCTTCTTCTGTGAGTTTTGCTTCTTCCAACAATTCCTGCTGTGAAGGCATTTCTTCTGGAGGCATTGGTTTATTTCGTTTAATTTTACTAACACGTTCTTTGATACGTTCTATTGTTTCTTGAGACTTAACTGCTGTTGATTGGCGTATTGACTTTCGCTCATATGACGTCTCAGCCGCCACCACCACTTTTTCTGTTCTGGAACGTTTTCTTTTTGGAGCTTCATTTTGTTCAACAGGTTTTGGTACTTTAGGTTCTTGGTATCTAAAATATAATAAAATAATTATAAACTAGTTAAAACAAAGAAAATAATTAGGTAAACTTCTATATCAGCAATTCTCAATCTTTTTATATCACAACATATCACTATACAAATATTGACAATTCTCACGTACCACTTGAAAGAAAATCCGAGTCATTATAACTACTGTTGTATACAAGCTTAATGATGTTCTTATTTATATAACTGCATAAGCAATAACTGTATGCAAGTAATTAGTGTTCAGTAGAACCAATTTTGAGTTACTATTATGTATCAAAAACCTTGAAATATACACCTAATATGCTTTTAAGATAAAATTATAGAATACATTTTTTGATCATAGATATGAAATTGACAATATTAAAGTACAATAAAAATAAAAGTATATTGATATAGCCTGAAAGGGTTAAAAGACAGACCAGAAAAAGATACTGTGATATAAGTACATTTAATTGTATTTACTTATCTATATATTTAAGAGGACGTCGCACCTGTTAATGTTGTCTCCGTCTTACACAAGTATGGCATAGCAAAAACATTTAGGTAAGGGACAGAACCGAGAAGGCTACAGTCATAACTAAGAAACAACATTTTCACTACATATAGGTAAAGGAGAACTTTGACTGTGTAATTTAATTTTATACTTATTTTTTTGATATCACTTATACGAAAAATTTCTTATGTTTCAAAATCCATTATTAACTATGTTTTTCAAACTTTAATAACTTTTTTTGAAGTTCCGAAAACAAAAAATAAAAACAATATAGCGCAGCCAAAGTTATCATTTTTATGTGATATAAATTTTGTTTCTTAGTTATGACTGTAGCGTTCTCGGTTCTTCCCCGCACAAAACAGTTTTTGCAATGTTGTACATTTGTAAGACAGAGACACATGCGGGTGCAACGTCCTCTTAATAATAACTGGTGTAAGCTCGATATACAGAGGCATACAAATATACAAATAATAAAATAGGTATAAAACTATCTATGTGTATTGTGTAATCGTAATGTAGGTACCTATTTGTTTTTTTTTGAGTTTGTTCTTCATCTTCGACGTCTGATATCACTTCATCATTTTCATCAATACTGAAATCTGAATCAACTTCATCTGGGGCTTCTTCATCAACAAAATGAAAATCATTATCTTCCTCATCTTCATTAAACCCACCGTAGGTAGTCTTATAAAATTCATCATCTGCAGCTTCTTCTTCATCCAATAAACGTGCTAGTTTGTTACCAGCATTTGAACGGCGTTCTCTTTCAGCAGCCATAGCCTGAAACAATCAGACTTTAACGTTAATATATTAAATAGATCAAATCATCATAAGAATCTTAAAACTGGAAAATAATATGTTACCCAATGGTCAAATATAGCACAATCAGTTGAATAAAATGTGTTCAGTTAAGTATTGTGTGTGTATAATATACATATAATGTATTACATAATATAATCTATCAAAAACATGACCCGTCCGGTTCAAAGCTAGATCGCGAGAATATTCGAATTTGAATTACTGTGAATACTTTGTAATACCCGTTGGTTTGGGCAAATTGCAAATCAAAATCAATTGGAAATTCGGAAAACTCAAATCATAATTTATACATTATAATATTATTCATCTTTACTTTTCAGTACTATCAGTTTTTACTTTTTACTTTTTCGCTTAACCGAAAGCACAATTTTAAAGATTAATAATAATAATAATAATAATATCAGTGCCGACGGTCACTGTTATCATGGTGGCATCCTATCAAATGAAGTTACGAACGTTTGAAAATTTGAAAATTGATTGTGTCATTGGTTCTCAACATTTTAACGACAAACTATATGACGAACGTATGTGACGAGTCGAGCGGCGTACCCATAGAAAAGAGATTAAGTCCCCACGGAAAACTTGTTTTTGTTATTCTGTTGGAGCCATGTTGTTGGAGTATCATGGGTCTGTTAAAACTTTTTATTTATCAATTATCAGTGAAGGAAAACTCAATTTTCGTATGGAGAAATAATAAAAATATATTATAATGCTGCATGTAATAATTTACAATGTAAATAATATACCTAAACAAATAGTGGTCGATCACCTGGCAGGTATTTAAAATGTTTAATGTAGCCCAATTGTTGGAAAAAGGTTTGCACCTCCTGGCTCCTGCTGTAATTTATGTGTTAAATTAGAATGATTTTGATAAAATGTTGTCAATATTTGAACTTCAAATGCTTATAAAAAAAATTGTACTTATGAATTTCTGATATTTTTTAATTGGTATATGAACAATAAATAGATACCGGTGTAATAACCAGATATCTCCAAATTTTTAAAAAAACGGGTTTTTATACAAAAATGTTTAAAAAAAAATTCTCTATTTATCAGTGCAATAACCAGATACGTCTAATCAATATTATGGAAAATAAATTATAAAAACTAAAATGTTCGTTATGGTTTGGTGAAATAACCAAATACGCCCGGGGGGCGGGGACGTACCTCGTTCTTGCAAAAAACGAATAAATAGAAGTTTTATTATTTTATTCGGCGCAATAACAAGGTTTTATATGTTTAATAAATAATAATATATTTATATATTATTTTAATATGTAAGTTGTAATTTAAGTTTAGTTTAAAATATTAATTTGCATAAATAATTATAAATAAATATATTTCCCCCCCCCTATAATTTTACCCCCCTGAATTTGGTGCAATAACCAGTTATGATTTGGACGTAACTTGTTATTGCACCGACTAAAAATTAATATATTGGCTAGTTTTTTAAAATATTGTAATATTGGCATGAATATTGAAGCAATTCAAATCTTATCTATCATATTCAATTTATTAAATTCCAAATAATATTATAACTCTTCAACCTTTTCTAATAAATTTCAATAACAAAAAAATTGAGGTTCTTTTGTCTCCTGAAAAATTTGACAATGTGGACGTACCTGGTTATTGCACCGATGCCTTCTGGTTAAAATATATAGAATCGAATAGCTTAATCATTTTTAATTGACTACAAAAAAAAAACAAAATTCGTGTGCTCTAGTTTTGCGTAAGAATTACCATTTTTTCTTTTGTCTGCTAGCCATTAGCTGGGAATAATCATACATAATAAACTAATTTCTTTAGGAGACATCAAGACAGCTACGTTTGGTTGGCTAGACGGCTAGTACTTACTAACATTGGAATTTATAATCTCCTCCTCACCCTAAACTTTTAATCAACATCACTATCACAATTATTTTAAAACCAATTGATCTTTATGAATGGTTATTCAGTTTTTCAGAAATGGCCAACTGAAAGATTAATAAAACAAATTATTGGTGGAGACTGGAGAGGTATTTATTATGACTAGGTTCGCCGCTGTTTATAGGGGAGATTGTAAATTCCGCCCGAAAATGAACAGGTAAAAACAAGGTCTATGGTAAATTCCGCCCGGAAAAATATCCAAGTAAAAAAGGTACATGTAAATTCCGCCCGAAAAAATATACAGGTACAGACTAAGAGTTCCGTACTTTTCCCGACGCGGCGCGTGTTATAACTTATAGTATTGGGAAGTCACAAAATGTAAGTAATGACGCTGCTTTTCCTCCAAATATATGGGCTGCTGCTACAGCAGACTTGAACAGAACGACTAATGCTTGTGAGTCGTTTCATTCCAATTTTAATAAAAGTTTTAATTCTAGTCATCCTCATATTTTTAGACAAACTTAAACAAATTCAAGTAGAAAATTACATAAAAATAAATAGTATAAATGAACCACATAAATATAGAAATTCAAAATCAAAAAAAAAAATATATACATGCAAAATATAATTAAAAAATATAAACATTTGACTTAATATGTGATATATAATATATTTATTTAAATACCCACTTCTAAATTATAATGTTTAATCTATGTTATGTCAGTAATAATATGATTAATAAGAAACATTCAGAAATTTGTTTATTAATAGTAAGTAATAAATGTATTCTTTATAAACCTATTATACCTATACGGTTTTGATTAAAAAATTCAAAAAAACTTTAAACTTTTAAACATCATTAAGTAATAAGAACTTTTTACTTATACATTTTTTCGGGCGGAATTTACATTTATGTTTCTTTACCTGTATTTTTTTCGGGCGGAATTTACATGTACCTTATTTTACCTGTAGTTCATTTTGGGCGGAATTTACCATTTTCGGGCGGAATTTACATGCGCCCGTTTATAGTATAGTAAAGGTACACACTGCATAGTTAGGTATGATATTTGATATTAAGTATTTAGTCTGGAGACTAATTTATTACTGTACCTACATCGGTGGTTGTTAACTGTCGTTGTTGGTTTGTTACCTATATGCTGTATAAGTATAACCCACGTTCTACCTAGAACGCGTTGTTGAATAACAATATAACATTTTAGGTATCTACCTACTACCTATTGGCAGTGTTGTAAAAAATACTTTTAAAAAGTATTTGAGTAATTACTCAAATACTTATAAAATAAAGTATTTAAAATACCACCCAAATACTATCTATTGTGAAGTATTTGAGTATTACTCAAATACTTTTTAGAAGTATTTGAAATAATTTTCAAATACAAAACAAAAAAATACGTACGTATACGACATACGTTACCTACCTAATGTTCGTATTATATTTCGCTATGATAATATACTATATTGGTAGGTAGTACTAGTAGGTACCGAAACGTACCGTTCCAATCGTCGTCGAGTGTCGACGATAAACAGACGGTTTCTCAGAGTAACTAATATTAATTAGCTATTAATAGACGAAAACTAAAACCAATATAGAATTGTTCATAAATGATAAATATATATTATAATATTATTAAGACATTATTATTATTTGACAATGAATAAAAAGTTGAAGGAATAAAAAAAGTATTCAATAAAATAGTGTTCAATAGTAAAAAAATGTATTTAAAATACCGTTCAAATACTTCAAAAATAAAAGTATTTGAAAAAGTATTCAATACGGAAAAAAGTATTTGAATACTTTTACTCAAATACTTTTACTCAAATACTTTACAACACTGCCTATTGGTTTAGTGCAATTTATATCATTTTTCAAATTTAATTACACCTACCTATCCTACGCAATTAGTACGCATGGGTGCAATTTAAATTGTTTTACTTATAAGGAGGCTGAACAAATTTATAAACATATTTGTAGATGTATTTTCCAAACCATCCCCCCCCCCAGATACAAATTTTGGTGGAATATTATATAGATAAGTTGAATGTGAGAAGTTTTTAAAATGGGTCGGTAAATTGTGATTAATTCCCCCCCCCCCACCCTTTAGCTAACAATATTTTACATCTCAAGTGGTTTAGACGTTTAATTTATTGATACATAATTGTTATTATTATTAATATAAATTGTCATATGTTTATTGTTTAAGATACATTATTATTATTCATGTCTATCCGAGGTCGGGATGTATAGCCTTGTATGGGTTCAGGGTTGTCATTTGGCTTGTCTAAATATGAGCTCATATAAATAATACAATTTACAAGAATTAGTTATAAATATAAAACTATCTTTAAAAGTCAAGGAAATTATAATATTATTATTACAGTTAGGTACTAAACATTAGGTACTAAACAGTTAACAAATTAACATAATATATCATTAGAGTTACGTATATATGTATAAATAAATATACGATGTACATTATACATATATCTATCACAATGATATACCAAAATATGGGGGCATGAGCACTAAATAATCCTCTCGATACTATTTAACTATTCAATATATTTTAAAGTTTAATATTTCAGTGGTAATTAAATCAATCATTGTCTTTGTTATTGAAATATTATTATTAGATACTTTTTAGTATTCTGAATAAATTATAATTAGTCTCCAGTGTTTTGACATCAACATTTTAAATTCAAGTTTGACTTAAACACGCCACGACGATTTGTATTCATTTCTTAATGACATATTAAACAAATAATATAGTATTCCATGATGGTGGAAGTGAAACTCGTTATAAATTTAGGACCTAAATTAGTATAAGCTATATTAGGTACCTACATATACTGTAACAAAGTAGATAGGTAACTAAATTCATGTGATTTTTTTAAATTTTTTTTGCGTCTATTACAATATACAATACATATATGTATTATTTACATACATTTCATTGAAATGTTTCGATTGTTGTAGTTTTTCCTAGCAATGATGAGAGATCCTGCTGCGGAAATAGAAAAATCACCATTTATTTAATAGAACCGGCTATACCTAGGTAATATTTCCTAGTCAT